TTCCGCACCCACAATGCTAGCCGAGGCAAGGTGGTGCAGAATGTCCCGGGTGCAATGCCTCTTGCTGTCTGGTAGGGTTGTCCAGCGCACCGCAAACAGCTCTGGTGCCCAAGGGGGTGGCACCGTGTAGTTCGCTGCCAGTCTGTCGCAGCCTCCCGCCTGGAGCAATGTCATGGGCAAGAGCTTCTGAGTGGCATCTGCTACCGACCACATCCATCGGCGGCCGGGATGCAGTGGAATGACCTGTCCCTGGTGGACCCGTAAATCTCTCATCAGTTTGTCAGCCCCTGGGAGTCGGAGATACTTTGCAATCCTCCTGGCAGCTACCAGTTGGATCCAGTCTTCAAGAGGCTGTAGCTGCACCTCAAGGTTCAGAGCCACTGCATTGGCCCACCTAGGAGCCCCCAGCATGGCCCGTACAGCTGTGTTCTGGATGACACAGAGGGATTTGATGTTTGTGGGTCCGGCGTGAACCAGAGCAAGTGCCACATAGTCAACGAGGGAACGTATTGCCTGGATGTAGAACAACCTCATGACCTCGAGGCTGGCCCCAACCCTAGGGTTGGCCATGGCACTCAATGCCCTGACCCTCTGCAGAGCCCTCTCTTTAATGTGGCGCACATGTTTCTGGAAGGTGAGGTGCCTGTCAATGTAGATGCCAAGGTACCTATAACTGTGAACCCACTCCAGGTCGATGCCCAGGACCCGCAGCCTCTGACTGGGCACCTTGGTGCGAAGGATCATGGCTTTGGATTTCGCCGCAGATATCTTGAGTCCAAAGTGACGGCAGGTGGAAGCCAGCAGATCGAGGTCCTCCTGGACACGCTGCAAAAGCCGGCGTTCCTAGTACGACAAGTGCCAGGTCATCGGCATAGCTGAGGAGGATGGTGCCTCTGGAGAAAGGCAGGCACACCAGCTGATGCATCAGTACATTGAACAGGGTGGGACTAAGCACCCCGCCCTGTGGAGTGCCGTTGTCCAGGGTCTTGAGAGAAGAGGCATGCCCCTGGAAGCGTACCGGGCCCGCCTGTCCTGGAGATAGGAAACGAAGCCATGAAAGCAGCCTGCCTTTAATCCCCCTGCGGGCCAAGAGTGAGAGGATGGCAGGTGCACTGGTAGCTCAAAAGCATTCTCGAGGTCAAGAAAGACAACAATGTGGGCTTGGGCGTCCGACCCAATGCGTCAGTAGAGTGGTAAGGCTTTCGAAAGTGCCACTCCTCTGGTGAAGCCATAGAGGTGTTTATGAGGAGGGCCAAGCTTCCACCTCAGGCGCTCCAACACCATCCTTTCAGACACCTTCGAGATGCAACTGGTGAGGGAGATGGGTCTCACACTGCCAGGATCCCCAGGCTTAGGAATCGGTATGATGTCAGCCTCCTTCCATACGACAGGGAGTTTGCCAGCTCTCCAAGTCTGGTTGATGACCCCCAGGACAGCTGAATGTCCAGCATGGCCAGACCGAGTGATCATGCCATAGGTGATACCATCATGCCCCGGTGCAGTGTCTCGATGAGATGTGAAGGCTGCCTGGAGCTCCTGGTCGGTGAAGTCTTCATCCGTGACGTCCTTAGTCTGGCATGCTGCTTGGATCACCATCACCCTTCTAGGAAGGAGGGTAGCTTGGAGGTCCTGGAGATCCTGAGGCAGTTGAGCCATGGCCGCTCTGGAGATGAATAGGTCCACCAGACGCTCTGCCTCCGTTGCAGGGTCTGGGTGCAACCGAGCCACACTGCGACGCTGCCCAGTGGCCAATCGTAACTTGGTCCAAATCTCAGATAAGGTGGAGGAGTAGCTGAAGGAGGCACACCACTCGAACCATTTAGCCTGCCAGACCCTGTGTGAGACATGGCGTGCATGCCGCACCACTTCCCTGAGGAGACGCATGGACTCAACCGTGGGATTACGCCTGTGCATCTTGCGTACAACATTGATGCGGTGGTTCTGTTCCCTTGATGTCCTCATTGTAAAACCACCAGTCACGTTTATTATGACCCTCCGCCTGTAATCTTAGGTATTGCTGCCTCAGCTGCACATGTGAAGGCCACCTGCAAGCTTTGAGCCGCCTCATCTGGGTCTTCTGGAAGAGGAGACTCCACCCACCAGCGCTCAATGACCTCCTGGAAGCACTGCCAGTCGGCCTTTTTTAGATTCCATCTGGGGGTAGGTGTGGGGAGCGGGCACCGCTGGACCATCAGCGTAGTGACCACTGCAAAGTGATCACTGGTGAGACGGGGTGGACCTCCCATCTCGCGCTCGAGAGCAACCGCCTAGAGATGAGTGTGACATCCAAGCGGCCACCATAGTGATGGTGTTGGCTCACCATTATTGAGGAGGGCGATCTCAGGGACCTCCCCAGCACAGCCGCAAGGTGCCTCCCAGCTGCGTTGGTAGGAGAGACAGAAGAAAGTATTGGGTGGTGAGCATTGACATCCCCAGCCACAACAAGACCCTCCCGTGGGGCGAGTGCTGCCACCTCTGAAAAGTCAAGGGTGTACCGAGAGCTTCTGTAAATATTGTAAACCACGAGAGGTCCATCCGCCAGGTGTAGGGTGACAGCCTGAACCTCTACGCCCTCCCCACAGTCGATGGGGTCAGTGGAGATTGAATGAGGGATAGTGGTCCTGACGTAGATCGCCGTGCCCCTGCCAGTCCCTTCCAGGCGCTGAAGGTAGGCAGAGAATCCCGGAATACGTGGCTGCATTTGACGTGACAAATCGGTGAGTGTCTCCTGAAACAGGAAGACATCAACCTCATCGTGAACTGCAGCTTCAATCACTAAGTGAATTTTCCACTGCAGCCCACAAATGTTCCACTGGAGGATCTTCAAGGGCCGCAGAGGTGGCTCACTGCTTCCATCTCTGCCTGGGACTTGTCGTCCCTTGTTGGCGACTCCGGAGCCTCCTCCATCACAGACTGGAAGGACTCCTGGATGATGGCTTGAAGTTCCATTGAGTCTTTCCTGTCCAGTAGGACCACGCCCAGCATCCATGACAGGATCTGCCTGCAGGCGCCCCTGTCCTCTGCCGACGGCAGCAGGCGACAGAGGAGCGCTGAGATGACCCCGATGGTTTTCTTCAGTCAATCCGGAAAGGATTCGACCATTACCTCTGCAGGCATTGAGCTGGACGACCCGTCGAGTCGGGGCTGGGTCACTGGGTATGTCTGGGTGGCTGTCGACACTGCAGCAGCATAAGCTGGGTGCACCCTGGGCCCGGCATGAGTGGCTATGGGCTTCCAAGTCCCCTGGCGGGGAACCTCTGCCTGACTCTGGCCGCTCACAGTAGGGGCCTGCCCTTGGGAAGAGGCCTGCTGGCGGTATGGGAAGGAATGTTGGTGCCCAGCTGGGACCTGCTGGGCAGTGTGCCTGGCCTGTGGCTGTTTTTCCCAATGATTCTGTCTTCTTGGCCACCTTGCCATCTGACCCCGCAGTTGAGCGCCCTGCTGCAAACCAGTGTGTGCCCCCTGATGCCGCCGCTAGAAGCCCAGTGCTGGGAACTCGCTGGTATTGCCCTCCTGCGTTATCCGGGGAACCGTGATTGGAGCCCATGCTGACTGTTGCTGGGCAGTTCTAAGGCTGGGTGGCGTCGGGGCTGTCGGGTCGTTCCGATGACGAACCTGCTGCCAGTGCTGCACCATCACAGGACAGCTCCGGTTCCAGGCATGGTGCCTCTTTGAGCAGTTGGCACACTTGGGCTCTGGCCGAAGGGCTTCGCCAGCTGGCTGTTTGAGGATTCCAATGCAGTCCTTCGAGTCGTGTGCCTTGCTGGACACACCACACTTCTTCTCTCGCTGGCAGGTGGCTGCAATATGATTGAACCCCTGGCAGTTGAAGCATTGTACTGGGCCTGACAGGTACGGTCGGGTCTTGAATCTTCCCCAGACCCCAAGGTCCAGGTGCGTGGGAAGTGGACCTTTGTGGTGGATCAGCACCTGGCGGGTGGGCACCTTGTTCACCGTTGCAGTGAGTCGCTCCGCCTTGACAATATTGGGCACTTCCAAAATGGGGTCCAGTGGGAGGGGCACAGGGACGTGTAAAAGCACCCCCTTGTACACCTTCTCCGAAGCAAGCAGTTCCACCATGCTGGGATGGGTCACAACCAGCCCCTTCAACTCCTCGTAAGAGTCTTCGTCCCGAGGAATGACCAGAACCTCGTTCCTGAGAGTGAACTCGCAGCGGAACTTGAGGTGGGGGAGATCTTCCAGATACCTTACAAACCCGTAGTTGGGAACCTTGAATTTGTTGAAGGCCCTGGTTGCTTGTGCCCAAGCTGAGCGGGAACTCCTCCTTCCACGTGGAGTCAGCCAGTCCCCGTCCACTGTGGAGGCCAACGCAATTGGTGTAGGGACCTGGGATGGCTCCATCCTTGCCACTTGAGGAGCTACATCCTCCAGGCTTCCTTCCACGACCCCTATGGCCATCTGGGGGTGCAAGTCTTCTTGGGTAGGGGCTGCCGACAGACTTAGTGGCAGATTGGTAGGTACAGTAGTCTCCACTGCATCCTTGGCCTTCTTGGTGGGGGCTCCCACCTGCCCCACGTCGTCCTCCAACTCGTCCCCGCATTCCAAGGAACATTTAGGCCGCTCTCCTGGATCTGTCATGGTGACTGTAGGTGTGGGGACAGAGCCAGCAGCGGAGCTGCTGCCTGTGACCTCACAGCCGCCCACACTGGGTGCAGAGCTGTGAGGCTCAGAGCCCCAGTCGGGGCCAGTAGCCACCCTCTCGTGGCTCACTGCTCTGAAGCACTGAACACAGTCCAAGGATCACCAGGAATGAAGCTAATCTGTGCGTAAACTAACACAGATTTGCGAACACAACACACACTGTTTTCCAATCTTCGTCCAGTCGATAATCCTTATGAATTGAAATTCTTCTCGTCTCTTCCATTCCCTTTGTTGTCTTGTGACTGCACCTCTCTTAAAACGCCTAAATTGGTGGTTGGATCAGATATATTTCCCCAACTCTGTATGATTATGCTAATGAATATTTTCCAATAATGGATTTCCTCTGATTATAAATGTATCCTGGAAAGGAAATCTGATGTCTTTTTCTCATTTGGTTTTAATTTAATTCTGTAATCAACATACAAATAACAAAAAAGGCACAACACCGTGACTGCAACGCTACACAAATAACCCGCACATAGAACACAGGAGCCTAAGGCGACACTTCCACCACTACCACCACCTTCTACCTGTATATACCCATCCTGCTCTCCTTTTCGTTAATGTGACTTTGTAAATGGTCCAAGTCGGACCGAAACGTCGTCGTAGACTCCTCTCTTCTATGTGCGGGTTATTTGTGTATCAACATATAAATTTTGCAAGAGAAAATCCACAAGCATGTGTTAGTGTATTATTTCTAAGAAGAGGCAAGATAATACACATTATCAGAATTTCACGAAATATCAACAGTACAATAAAATCAGTTTTCTTACCTGCAGCAGATGAACGTATTAAATCGTCAGTAACATTGTCATTAATTCGCGGATAGAATACATAGAACTGCTCCTCTGATTTTCCCTGAAAAGTTACCGAGGTTGGTAACTCCTCTAAATTCACAGTTTTTATGATTGTCTTCTCAGCCTGAAATATATTTAAGATTTCTCATTAGGCTCGACATCGACGAGAAACAAAAAAGAATATACTAGGTCTAAATTTGTTCCGTTTTTCTGTGAGAGCATAAATGATATGCATAACTCTGTAGCGTATGTATAGCATATTTACCTCAATATTACAGATGAAAAATTCAGTATCAGAAGAATTGCAAGAGATAACGAGGTGATGTTCAGTGACTGCTGGTAGAGGGTTCTGATATTTATTGTCATAGTGAGTCACGTCAACCAAAGTGGAACCATCCCATCCTAGTTGTATTGTAGTCTGCCCCAACGTGAGTCTGGGTTGTGAGGCAGTGTTGGAATACATACTGAGGTAGTGACGGTGGCGGTGAGGCAGTGGCACTGTCACTGCCCCGCCCTCAACCACCTCCCAACCAAACACATCTGCAAAACGTGCATTTCCTATGATACAAATTCACTCCTTTTTGTAAAGCTTTTAATTTAGAAAAATATTACCCATAAGCATAAAATTATATTAAATCAGTAATTAAGAAAATTTAATAAGAATCTTAATTTAGACAATAAGAAGACAATTCAACCTAAAGGTTACAATATAAGAGAAGCAGAGAATAAACAACGTAACTTCTTTCTTAGTGTATTACTTACCATTTCTCTTCATATATATATATATATATATATATATATATATATATATATATATATATATATATATATATATTATATATATATATATATATATATATATATATATATATATATATATTTTATATATATATTATATATATATATATATTTATATATATATATATATATATATATATATATATATATATATATATATATATATATATATATATATATATATATATATATATATATATATATATATATATATATATATATATATATGTCGTGCCGAATAGGCAGAACTTGCGATCTTGGCTTAAATAGGAAAGTTCATCTTGCCATATAAGACAAGCGAAAATTTGTGTATGCAATAATTTCGCCAAAGTCATTCTGAACGTAACGAAAAAAAATATATTTCACTGTGTTTGGTTAGTATTAAATTACTGCAAACAAATCTAAAATATATTTAGTTGGGTTAGGCTAAAATAAATTGTTCTTGTTATAATAAGGTTAGGTAAGTTTTCTAAGATTCTTTTAGTGCAAAATTATAAATTTTTACATCAGCATTAGTGAAAAATATATATCTTTAAACGTATAAGAGAAAATTTTAGAAAGGACTTAATTTTAAACGAGTTCTTGCTAATTGGCCAGTTTTACATATTCGACACGACATATATATATATATTTGTTTACTTCCTTTCTAAATGTCCAAACCACCTGAACACCTCCTCCGCCCTCTGGATAATACTTTTAGTAACGACGCACCTCCTTCTAATTTCCAAACTACGGATTCTCTGCATTATATTCAAACTGTATATTGCCCTCAGACATGATATCTCCACCACCTCCAGTATTCTCCTTGTTGCAACGTTAACCACCCGTGGTTTCCACAAATATAAGAGCACTGGTATAACTGTGAACTCATGCACTTCCCTGTTTACTTCCATGGATAACGTTCTTTGTCTCAACGAACTTCTCAATGCACCACTCACCTTTTTCCACTCATTAGTTGTACGATTCACCTCGTCATTCATAGACTCACCTGCTGACAAGTCTACTCCCAAATATCTGTATACATTCACTTCCTCCATACTTTCTCCCTCCAGTCTGATATCCAATCTTTTATTTCCTAAATTGCCTGTTATCCTCTTCATTTTCTCTTTCCTATGTTCACTTTTAATTTCCTTCTTTTCTCTACCCTTCCAAACTCGTCGACCTCTGGATCTTCTCCTCAGGATCCCACAAAAGCACAGTACCGTCATCAAAAAGTAACTGACAACTCCCTCTTTGTGTTTGAGTTTTTATCTTTTAATTCCACTCTTCTTGCCAAGACCCTAGCATTCACTTCTCTTACAACCCCATCTATAAATATATTGAACAACTACGGTGACATCACACATCCCTGCCTAAGGCCTACTTTTACTGGAAAATAATCTCCCTCGAACGAGGGAATGATCACAAACGGGAGGCCAAATATGCAAAATAATCAGAGAAGGTGAATGATAGTTCTAAGTCTTTTGTATATCAATCAACACATCATCTGGAGCTTGCAACGTTGCGGAAATAAAGCAGGAAATCCAGGAAGATCTGTTTATTGGAATGGTTTCCCTTAAGAATAATGGGACGTGGCACCGCGAACGATGCTAAGTGACAGGAAATGCTGACACCATATTACATACTATAAACATAAAGCATATATAAAGCCCATAAACATTGAATTTGTAGTAATGACGTAGCAACTACAACATTAGTATCTACGAATTTTTCTTTCATTTTATTAAAGAAAATATCTAGAGTAAACAATGAAGGACCAACAATTTGGACAAGCGTAGGTCGAGAGCCCACAGAGCTTACGGGTTTATTCAGACCGTACATATAAGAAAGAGATCTAGCTGACAATTGTTTAATCAATTCCTCATTACCTCTCAGAAAGATCCTAAGTTGTTTATTAACCTGCATAGGTTTCCCTGTCTTCTAATATCATGTTCACTTTTCTCCTATAATCTACCTTGTCCATAATTACTATCGCATTCGCTTTGCTATCGTAAAGTGAAGTCCAAGATCTATTCATTGTATGACTTAACAAATCCTTTGGCACAATTCAGTTTCACAGGTTTGATCAAAGCTCCATATACCATGCCTTTGATAATGTTGAATGTTTCCGGGGATAGGTTCCTTTATTTTTCGAAACTGCAAAAGGAATTAGCAAGGTCAACATAATTATTGCCTCAACTAGCAGAAACGAAACTTAACCCATACCATAGCATTGTCTGTTGGCCCCGGGAAATTATCATAATTATTATAATCATGGGGAGAGCTAAGCTAGTGAGATTTTACAGTGCACGTGGAGGTATTCAGGCTTAATTCAGGGAACCGGACCACAGCACCATTTCCCTAGATCATGAGCCCCTAACCAGCGTCTAGGAACCTCCCTCGAGGGGCGGTGCTGGGTAAGCTACACTCTCGAAAGGTTAATAAGGAAATCTGGTTTAGCATGTTGTGATCATCCACGTTGTTCAGTGAGGTTGTTTAATTTTCTAGCAAGTAAACATTCAGTTTTCTGACTCATTATTCTCGGCTCACTATATATGTCATTTAATAAATGATCTTTCCACTCGAGTGTCACCAAACTGAACAACTTTTGTTTTTCTCGCTTCAGTAAATAAAATTTTTTCCCTTTCATGTTTTAGTGGATCAATATTCTTGGTTAACCTGTGAAGTTGATCAAACGGCGACCAAGAAAGATTAACCAACCTTCTCTGAAGAAGCGATTTCTATAATAAATGTTCACTGAGATACTTTCTTAAAAACACTAATTTTAATGGTACTTTATGGGCTTTAAGAGGAACAGATTTATAAGAGAAAACAGCAAAGGAGGAGGAAGGAAAAAATCATTAATGTGAATTTTTTCCGAGAAAATCCCCTAAAAACATAAAAAATCGAATTTTATGGACTTGTCGTTCATTTACCTCCGTAGAATACGTCGTAAGCATTTTCTTGTCCATGTAAAGCCAAATACAGCATCCTAATATTACAAAATTTTGAAATAAAAATTACTAGTGTTCTGTACCAAATATAATTTTTTTCCCCCCTTATTTTGAGGAAAACTTCATGAAACTTTTAGTGTAGACTTTGATCACCTTCTCAACTTACAGCAAAATATATCATTGAAATCCAAAAAAATTATTTAATTTTTCTTAATAAAAACACCCACCTCTCTTGATGCCCAGACAGACAAGAGGTGGGGACGGGGGCCACTTGTTGCACATCTTCACACTACTCAATTAAATGTTTCCCCAAATAGTCGTTTACAAGCAGCGGTATAACATGATGGGATGAAAGGACAGAGGGAAGAATAATGTTTAGAACTGCGTGGAGAGCAACATCTCTTCTGGTTATTAGACACGTAGGCAAAGTGCATTTTAATGAAGTTTTTGTTCATCTCATTTGTTATTAATGTATACCAGTGCTGCATAGGTAGCTGCATCACAGCCTTGTTGAACACCAAAACAGAGCTGTGTTGGTGTCAGCATTGTGGCAGCTTTGTGACTCACCATTCCACTGCAGCTCTGGCAAAAAGGCATCGAAGGGTGTTGCCAACAGCAATGAGCCTGATTTCTCCATCATATTTCTGTATGACATATAGTGATGCATCATAGAAGAGTCGCCTAAGACTCTCTGATACACCCCCAGTCAGGTACACATTGGTAATATGGAATTTTCTTCACATCTTCATTAAAAATGAGTCTAGAATTATCAACAAATTAACTGAAAGGGACACATGTGCAACGATGAGGCATTGTGTGGAGAAATTTTCTTCAGGAGGGGGTATCAGCCCCCTTCGGCCCCTTTCAGCCCCTTTCAGCCCTGAGGCGCCCAGCCCCTCTCAGAAGAGGCAAGCATCTTGTTTACTGCTACAGCAAGTAATTGATCCCAGATGCACTACAAGTATGCGACGGTTCAAGCGACCGACTCTCCTTGCAAAGTCCAGTGTTGCAAAGTTTTAGTTTAATTAAGGACAATTAAGGAAAATCCGCTCCCACTTTATTACCATGGTAAAGTTTGTGTACATTGTTGTCTATGCTTAAGACAGCAAGAATAAAGCATTCTGTTTTGCTTCATGGAGGAAGTGGCAAGGAAGCAAAAGTACTAGGTCCAGCTTTTCTTTATGCTCGAGGGGCATTGGAGCGGCGTAGGATGCTGTGAGGTCAGATTACTTTTGACTCTACTGGGGTCACACTGACGCCAGGGTAACCAACAAAGAAAACTGATCTGTGCTTTGGTGTGAACAAAGTGTCTTACAAAATACGATAAAACACTTACAGAGAAGTGTGATCAGCTTCTTTAGTGACATTATGGTGTGATCAATTATTGATGAACGGTGTAACAACGAGTGTTGCGATCCAACAGAGAGTAGTGCGACATTCTTCAAAGAACACTATTCTTCAATCAACTCACCGGAGATCTGGGCATATCTACGGGTCAGATACATATACCCAGGTAAGTGTTCTAACTCATGATGTACTACTATTGACTGCACAGTTGAGCCTAAGTTACAAGTTAGTTCCCCTTATCATAAACCCGGTGATAAGCGGACTTTTGAGTCCACACAAGTACGTATGTCAGCCATCAGTGAATGAAATATGCTGACATAACACCCCCTAGGGGTAATTTATTATTAACGTAACATAATCTTTTACAGCCCGTTAAGAAGTGCGTATGACAGCTTCTCAAGACCTCGTCTGCAGGGGCGGCTGTGTGGACGATGAGCTGTCTTATCAGCTAAGTACTCCCTATATTTAATCTAATCTTAGCTGGTAAACCATTTCTCAACACACTGAACTGCAACATCGTTTTTTCTCTCCACAAGCTCTCTCAAGAACAATAACTTGATAAAACTCCAGGGGAGAGAAAAATGTATCACGACTCAATGTTTATTGTATACACATGTGTCATTTTCTTATCAAATTATTTTGCCCTCTTCTTTTCGATTTTTTTGTGTTATCACTTTAAAAGGCTTTTAACATTCAACACACATTGATATTCTATATAAGATGCCGAAATTTAATTATTTGCGAAAAAATACACATTCTGTATTGACTGTGCATTGATTTAATATATATTAAAAAATAATTTCTGTATAATAAACATTCTTGACAAGAATACAGTCACCGAGAAATGTGGCTTCTTGTGTATAGTTTCAGACTTTATTTAATCTCTTATTAAAATTCTGAAATATCCTTGACTGTTAGAAAATACATGATTTCCAGTCTAAAATACCCTGGTAATGTCGATAGACTTTTAAAACCAGTGAACTAAATCAAGATACTTACTGTGATGGCAACCGACAGTGATATTGCTGCCGTCAATGGAGAGACTGGGAATGGAGATATCAGCGGATTAATGACACAAGTTTGGGTATTTTGGTTTGGAAGCCACAATTTCTGTGCCCGATGTTGATGACAGGTTTAAAAGGCCCCCCAAACCCAAAACGGGCAGAGGTTGGGGACAGGGGTCAAAAAATTTCCTGTCCCAGCGATCATCCCTAAAACAACTATTTTCACTTGGCGGAAATTTAGATTTTGGATGACTTTCTTAGAAAAAGGGACGTATGAGCCAAGTGGTTCCAAAAATGAAGGTCAAGAGGGGACTCCCTCTGGGTCAGTCATTCCCTTTTCTGTGGGGCCACACGTCATCTCCACTTTGGGTTTCCTAACCACGTTACTCCATTTTCCCCTGGGGCCCGGGCCCACCCCTGAACAAAAAAGGAAATAATATTGCTTTCATATTGAACGTGTAAAACTTTCCACATCATTTCCCTTTACAAGTGTTTTATTTAAATCGGGAGAGAAAGGACAATAATATTTCATGTTTTTTATATATAAGAATATATACTTTAAAATATGTTTTTATCATTGAAACATACATAGAGAGTTACTTTAATCCCATTTTAGATAATAATTTTTATAAAATCATTTATAGTGTTTCATTAATGATCTTGACAGTGACAGGGGAAAAATACTTCGAAAAGGTTCATCGCAAATTCACCAGAAATATTTTATTCAGATTTAAATTTTTTTTTTGGGTAATTTTTTTTCCTACCTATAATTTTTTTCCCAAATTTTTACGTATTAAATTTTGGGTCTGAAATTTTTCCTGTACATTTTGCTCCCAAAAAGTTAGATTTTCTCAAAACAGAAAAATCACCGGGGGCATTTCCTTTTCAGGTCTCAAGAAACGTTTAAAAGAAAAACAATATTACGAGATAATCTAACAGAGCATGGGGAAAAAAACCCTAAAGCTTTCAAAAAAAAACAGTCTTTGGTGCTAGCAAGTAGCAGAAAAACAATATAAAAGTTCAACATGAGAAATTTCAATTACTCAGATTTGGTAAAAAAGGAAAAAATTTAAAAATTTTTCATCAGAGTACAAAAAAAAATTCTGGCCAAAAAATTTAGAGCGAAACCCCCAACGTAAAAAAGCCCTGGGAGGGGTTTATGTCGGAGGATCTCACCTTAAAGGGACCTTAACATTGTATCAATCCCCATCTGCTAAAAAAATGCCCAGTGGTTAATGAGAACCTTCAAAATAGGGGGGGGCCAAGCCCATGAGACACTCTTCAGGTCACTTGTTTATCTAGGCTGGAATATTGCTGCACTCTAACAGCACCTTTAAAGGCAGGTAAAAAATTCCCAAACCTAAAAAAAATGTACAGAGAATTTTCCCAGGGGCGGCAAAACGGAGAAAAAACACCTAAATTATGGGAGCGCTTGGGGGTTTTCCTAAACCTGTATTCCCTGGAACGCAGGAGGGAGAGAAAACTTGATTATATACCCCGGGAAAAAATCCTAGAGGGGACTAGTACCGAATTTGCACCGAAAATCACTCACTACGAAAGCAAAAGATTTGGGCCCAGACGATGCCCCCATCCCCCCAAGAAAAGCGGGGGGTTTTGTCACTAGAACTTTAAGGGGGACTATACAATAAGTGTCGGGGGGCCCCGAGACTGTTCAACTGCCCCCCAAGCACACAAAAGGGGGTTCCCAACAGCCCCCGGGGCAGTTTTTCCCAAGGGCTGGGCACTGGACAAGCCCCTAAATTTAAGTTCCTGTTTCACCCGGGCTGGGGGCCGTACGTTGGTTTGCTGCAGCCAGCAGAAACCCAGCGGGTTGTTTCAGGCGCTGTTTCCCCCCGGAGGCCGGGTTTTAAACAGCCCGGGGGCCGGGCGGGGGCTTTGACCCCAAAAAACTTCTCCAGGTAAACTCCAGGTAAAAGCCCTACAAATATCTGAATGAGTAGCTCAAAAATAGCAAAAACCAAACCCCAATGTTATTTTTTAAAAAACTTAAATTTGAGTACAAACCGAAAAGTTTAGCAGAGCGTCACAGTAATAAAAAAAAATTCTGCAACTCCCAAAAAATCAACAATTTTAACCACTAAGTCATGCCAGACTTTAATAAAATTTCCCATCCATTGAGGATATTTCTTCACATAGTAAAGGGTTTAGAAAAGGGACAAACTCTAGTAAGGGTAGTGAGGGGACACCACTCAAAGTAAGGGTAGGGGGGGGGACCCCAAATAAGAAAGGGGTTGGGTGAGGGAACCACTCTAAAAGGGGTTTAGTGGGGGGACAAAAACTCTGAAAAGGGTAGGGGGGGGACAAACCCCATAAGGGTAGTGGGGGAAAACAACTTAGTAAGGGTAGTGAGGGACACCCACTTAGTAAGGGTAGAGGGGGGACACCACTCTAGTAAGGGTTTGGGGGATACCACTCTAGAAAGGGTAGTGGGGACCCCCACCTAGAAAGTGTAGTGAGGGCCCACTCAAAGTAAGGGTAGTGAGGGAAAACCCACTCTAGTAAGGGTATTGTTGAGGGCCACCACTCTAGTAAGGGTTTAGTGCGGGAAAACCACCCCTAGAAAGGGGTTTAGTGGTGGACACCACTTTGAAAGGGGTTTAGTGGGGGGACACCTTTTCAGTAAGGTTAGGGAGGGCACCCTCAAAGAAAAGGGTAGTGAGGGACCCACTTAGTAAGGGGTAGTGGTAAAACACCACTCAAAGAAAAGGGGTTTTTAAGGTGAGGGCACGATTACCCAAGGGTAGTGGGGGGACACCATCTAGTATAGGTAAGGGGGGACCCCCCACTTTAGTAAGGGTGTGGGGGGGAACCCATTTAGTAAGGGTAGTGGGGGGACCCCTCTTTTGAAAGGGGGTAGTGGGGGGGACAACCCACTCTTAAGGGTGGGTGGGGGACCCCACTTTAGAAAGGGGTAGTGAGGGACCCCCACTTAGTAAGGGTAGTGGGGGGAAACCACTCTAGTAAGGGTAGTGGGGGGGACACCATTCTGGGAAGGGGGTACTGGGGGACCCCTCTGAAAGGGGTTTAGTGAGGGCCACCATCAAAGTAAGGGTAGTGGGGGGACACCACTTAGAAAGGGTTTGGTGAGGGACCCCATTTAGTAAGGGTTTACTGAGGGACACCTTAGTAAGGGTAGTGAGGGACACCACTCTAGAAAAGGGGTAGTGAGGGCCCGACTCTAGAAAAAGGGTAGTGGGGGGAAAACCACTCTAGTATGGGGTAGTGAGGGACAAACTCTATTTAAGGGGTAGTGGGGGCCCAACATTTTGTAAGGGAAAGTGGGGACACCTCTCTAGGGGGGGGTTAGTGAGGGAAAACCCTCTATTTGGGGTAGTGGGGGGACACCACTTTTTGAAAGGGGTTTGGGGAAGGGACACCACTCTATTTAAGGGAAAGTGAGGGACCCACTCTTGTAAGGGTACTGAGGGACACCACTCCAGTAAGGGTTAGTGGGGGGCCCACCTTTTAGAAAGGGGTTTGTGGGAACCCCATCTTAAGGGTAGTGAGGGACCCCATTCTATTTAAGGGTAGTGAGGGGACACCTCTTTTTGGGGTTTAGTGAGGGCACCACTCTAGTAAGGGTAGTGAGGGCCCCACCATCTAGAAAAGGTTTTTAGTGAGGGACACCACTTAGTAAGGGAAGTGGGGGACCCACTCTAGAAAAGGGTAGTGGGGGGACACCATCTAGTAAGGGTAGTAAAAAAGACCCACTCTAGAAAGGGGTTAGTGGGGACACCACTCTAGCAAGGGTAGGGGTTTTGACCCCACTCTAGAAAGGGAGTGGGGGGAAACCACTTAGAAAGGGGGTGTTAGGGGGGGGACCCCACTCAAAAAAGATTCCTGGGGAAAACCCCCTTGAAAAGGGGTTAGTGAGGGAACCCCCTCTGCAAGGGTAGTTAGGGGACACCACTTTTAGTAAAGGGTTTTGAGGGACACCCCCTCTAGTTAGGGTGGGTGAGGGACACGACTACGAAAGGGGGAAAGTGAGGGACCCCAAACTCAATTTAAATTGTGTGGGGGACCCCATTTCTATAAGGGTTGTGGGGGACACCCTCCGAAAGGGTAGGGGGGGGGAAAACAACTTTAGAAAAGGGGAAGTGAGGGGGACACCACTCTTTTAAGGGGTAGTGAGGGACCCCCCTCTAGAAAAGGGTTAGTGGGGCACCGCTTAGTAAGGGTTATTTGGGGGGCCCCACCCCCCCTCTGTAAGGTAGTGGGGGGACACCACTTTGAAAGGGTGGTGGGGACACCACCCCTATAAGGGTGTGGGGATCCCCTTTTTAGTAAAGGGTTTAGTGAGGGACAAAACTTAGTTAGGGTAGGAGGGCACCACTTAGTTAGGGGTAATGGGGTGACACCACTCTAGTAAGGTTAGGGGGAGGGACCCACTTAGTAAGGGTAGTGAGGGACACCACTCTAGTAAGGGTGGGTGAGGGAAACCACTCTATTTAAGGGCGGGGGGGCCACCACTCTAGTAAGGGGGTTACTGGGGGAAAAACCACTCTGGAAGGGGGGGTTTAGGGACACCCTTTTAAGTAAGGGTTTAGTGACGGACACCACTTAGAAAGGGGTTTGGGGTTAGGTACACCATTTTGAAAAGGGGTAGTGGGGGACCCACTTAGAAAGTGTTAGTGAGGGACACGACTCTCGAAAGGGGTTTATAGGGACCCCAAATGAATTAATTGTAGTGGGGGCAAAAAACTCTAGAAAGGGAAGGGGGGGGACCCCACTCCGTAAGGGTAGTGGGGGACACCACTCTAGTATGGAAGTGAGGGACACCACTCAAAGTAAGGTTTATGAGGGGCACCCCTTGGGAAGGGTAGTGGGGGGTCACCGGTTTTAGTAAGGGTTTTTTGTGGCCACCACTCTAGAAAGGGGAGTGAAGGACACCATTTTTAGAAGGGTGGGGTAAAAAACACCACTCTAGTGGGGGGAAAGTGGGGGGGAAAACCACTCTATTTGGGGTTATTTGAGGGGCAAAAACTATAGTTAGGGTAGTGAGGGACCCCCACTTAGAAAGGGTGGGGAGGGACCCC